GCGTTTAAAGACGGCTCGGAAAAAATAAGTTAGTTCTCAAATAATGATGGGAATAATAAAATCTGTAATTATAGATGCCATTTAACGGCCATGATCCTATCTAAACAATAGCACTAAACTGGAATCTTTTAATGTCCTCTTTTATGATCATTTTATTATTGTTCTAGACAGCATGGTTATACACGCTCTGTTATTCCCTGATTTTACTGAACGCTGTTAAATGCCTTCTGCAGAAACAAACCATTTTTTGCAGATATAGATGGGGTGTTCAGAGTAAAAATTGTTGTTTTCCTTTTGGTCTGGGAGTGGTAACATTTAACTTTTACTACCAAAAACAAGAATAAACAAAGATTCCATTAATGTTGTTATAGACAAGGACTCCCAAAAATTCTGTCTTTACTTTTTTTATTTTTTGTGAGGGCCCCTATCAGTCAAGGGCCCTTGGAATTGTCCTAACTTCCCCCCCTATATGGCGCCCCTGACCATGCTGTGGCTTCACCTGTCGTATTTTATTTTAAAGAAAGAAAAAGTAGCTTGCAAAACTGTCGCATCGGTGCAACGTGATTAAAAAATGTTTTCATCGCGCTAATCTAAATCTAATCACAGGCGCGCGCACATCTGTCTATCTTTGTGAGGACCACATACATACATGTCAACCTCTTCGGACGTTTACCTGTATAAAAAGCCTCAAAAATCCGTAAATTTAGCTAAAAATCCTTACAACTCGCACGGAGGGGGTCGGGGTCCGTCAGCTGCGCACATGACAGCGCCCGCTGAGGAAAGGGGAGCTGAAAAAGTTCAAAACTTATTTCTAGCGGCAGAACAGGTTGGAAGATGGCTGTTTGATGTTATTTATTGTTTTTTAAATCATCCTACAGGCTCTGACATGTTAGATAAATTTGAAAATGAGGTTTTGAAAAAAATCCGTAAGACTTGAAAAAATCCGTGAGATTGCTCTATACGTCAGTATACCTGCAAAATGATGTTAAATCCTTATAACTTACA